GTTGATGGCCATGATTGCGCCTTCAGTGGGCGGTGAAACTCTTCGATTACCCGTTGTTTAGGGTGGTAGGGTGGTGCGTTTTTGCTGTCCCCCCGTAGTTAGCAAGAGCTGAAATGGGGAGGATTCGAATTTGGGGTCCTTATCGGTAGTGATTGTAGTAGGAACCCAAAACGAGCTCCGGGTTGAGTAAAAGTGTCCACTACCGTCGTTGCTTTAATGTCGGAATAGGGAGCTTCTGCCCATCTGGTGAAGGATCAATTGGGGTCATGCAGAACGTAGATCCGGACGGTGGAAGCGGACCGATTGATCTATATGCCATGGTCCCGTAGACGTGTCACAAATTTTTGAAGTGGAAAACCGATGTTTGGTATTTTAGGCTTGACAAGGTATGCTTGTCGAGCAAAAACAGTACAATTTTTGTTAATGCTAGGCCACAAAAAACGATTACGAACTAATTTGCGGGTTCCCCAATTTGCAGGGTGAGAAAATTGTGAACGCGAAAAAAAATTTTTCCCTAAACTTTGAGGTACATGGGGACGTCAGTATCGTTGACATATCGCAATATAATTTAAGTCGAATTGGGAATTTTTAAACCCTTTTTTTAATTGCAATGAATTATCAAATTTTAAAAAGTTAATTAATTCGTTGTTATCTAATTGAGTGATGCGATTTCGTTATAACATTGCCCCGACATTTTCATTAACGCGGAAATGTATCCGCAACTCATTTTCACGCTTTTATGTTTTAATGTCTGTTGTGAACTGAGAAATGAAATCAAGTTGCCGATTTTGTCTGGGAAGATTTGTCTAGCTTTTCTTAAGCAAATGTTAATGGCTTATGGTCCGAAAAATTTAAAATTATGTCCTTAAAGCATAAACCTGAAGTGTTTGATAGCTGCATAGACTCCAAAGGCCCCCCCTGTCGTAAGCACTATATTTAGTTTCGGCAGCATTAAAGTTTCCTAGAATAGAAAGCAAAGGGTCAGCCCTTTGCTGTGTTTGATTGGCCCCACCTATTGCAACCCTCCTCTTCAGTATAAGGGATGCTTTGGTTTGGGGTGTGTTAACATTGCAGCGTTTCAGCCGTTTCGTTTTTTCAAAGCTGCAATTTTTTTTGATCTGACCGGGAAATTTTATTTTTATCGTTTTTTTTGGGAACCCTTTTTAAAAAATTCCCCGGAGTTGGTTTGTGCTGCAGCGGCATCTACGATAGAAATTTAACATTCCTAAGAACGCCGAAATTTCCAACACAGTGTCCTTTTTTTAAAATTGATAATTTTTTCTCCCTTTTATTGGGGGAGAGGGTCCCGTTTTGGGAAAAAGAGATGGCCAAAAAAATTTATCTCCGGGACACCAAACACGCATTTCAAAGCGTTGAGTTTAAATCCATAACTTTAATTTTTTGAATATTTTAGTTACATTTGCTTATGTAAACTTTCGTTTTCTAAAAAAATTAAAATGTCATCCAAATAGGTTAAAAATCAAACCCTTAAAAATTTCATGCATAAATCGTTTAAATGTCAGCCCCATTCTTAAACCAAAAATTTAAGTACGGAAATTCAAATAAAAACCCAAAGGGGGGATTATCACTGTTTTGGGTGTATCATCTTCATGTGAATGTGGTGATATGCCCGAGCAATGCCCCAATTTTGAGAAAAAATTTTTTTGTTAAAAAATAGTTGACTGAAATCTTGAAGATGGGGTATCGGATATGCATCTATGATTGTTGATTGGCTCTTAATACCCACGGTCGTATTAGTTAGGTTGTTTACAAATTTAAAGGGAAGACCAATTGTTTTTAAGAACGACCACCCTGTTCCTCATTTTTCGAATTCTTTTTTGTCTGTTCGAAAATTCCGAAGTCTCCCAGCTTTAGCGTGGACGGGTTGGTTTTAGTTTCAATTTCATGCACTGTGTCATGTTTCATAATTTTGTTTGAATAGAGGGGTTGGTTAAATCAGGGGAAATTGCTTAGAATGTCGCTGTAAACAGAATTTTCGAAACAGTTTTAATTTTAATTGGTGATTTCTTTAATTTTTTTAGGCTACAAAATTCGTGAGCGTATCAATGAGTTTAAGTTGTTTAAGTCCACAATTTAAACCAAAATGTGCAAAAAATAGCTCCGCTATAGGGAAAGGAAACACATAAGCGATTTTGAATCCATTTAAATTTTCCAAGCCCAAAACTCTTAAATTAATGGTTTTTAAGAAAGTTTTTTTTTTGTATTTTTGCAGCGAAAAATTCAAAAAAATGGTTTTGGGGCTATGTTTTTTTATTTAGGTGGGGGGGAAAGCAAAAAAAAAGCCCGTATCAACTAGAAATTTCAAATGGACCGCATCGTACAAGTGTAACCGTTTTTATGTTTTTGCCGCACAAATTTAAAAAATTTGATTTGGGTGGGGTATTTTTGAATTAAAAGCACATGGTGTATACATTTACGGGTTTCTCCCCGAACTGATTGGATAGCGACAATAGGCGGGTTCCCATTGTCAGTGAAGGACGGCTGCGCGAGCGCTTACGGGGAATTTGTAAATTTTGCCTGTTTTTTTTTCCCCTGCTTTAAACGATCAACTTTCGTAGTAAGAGCCAATTTTTTGGCGCGAAGAACGATTTAAAAAACCCCGTGTTCGAATTTTCGCTATGTGAGGCGGAAACAATAGTTGTGAACTGTCGGTTATTTGACATACCTTTTCCGCGATTTTGCTAATTGCGAAAGGTGCCCGGAAGCCGATAAAATAGCTTGTACGTTAATCTTCGTTTATCCCAAAAATTTTTTTTAAAAATCTTCGCTAACTGTTCAGTGGTTCGCGCATTTGTTAATAAAAAACTTTTTCTTTTCCCATTGTGGGGAGTAGTTTTTTTTTTTGTTGTTGGATCCTGAAACTCAGAAATTAATCTATTTTTAAGAGTTAAATATTTATCAGTTACCGGAGGGTTTAAAATTATGTCTGACAAATGCTCTAGTGTCTCTGAATCAATATTTTCAATTAAATGAGAAAATTTCGTTTCGTCATTGGTGATTCTGGCTAAGCTAAACGCGGTCTCGCATTGTTTTAGCCCAAGAGGTATGTTTGTTTTCCACACCGTTGGAATTCTGACCGCTATTCTGTTTACAAACGAAATGTCTTCCCCTAACTCGGTCATTTTCTCAGAAGAAAGGAAAAAAGTAAAGAAAAAAAAACAAACACCCCTAGTAAATACAGAACTACAAAAGAGCGAATTTCGTTTCCTACCCTTAGGCGAAAAACGGACAAACGGAGTAATACAGTGACACGTCAATGGAACGAATACCCATACACAAGATCAAATCAGTTGAAAAGGAGGTTTACAATACCTTGTGGTTGTGAAGATGTGGCCGCTGGGTTAACTCGTCCGATTAAAGAGGCAGCTGAGTCTTTTATGGCCTTTTCGAACAGTAGAGTAGCCGATGGTCGCTCCAGTAGGATGGCAGTGGATGGCAGTCTATTTTTGGGCATCTGGACTGATACACAGTCCTCAATCCCATATCTTTAAGAGTCTTTGAAGTGGGGCTTGACTTTCGTGGAATTACACAGTCTGCGATGTAGCATGCAGGCTATTGGCTGCGACGATGGAATCCGGGAGAAGGGGCTTAAGGTTATCTTCAAGACGTGGAATGTTCATACATGGCTGAGAGCTATGTGGATGCTCTCTCATTGGTTGGAGGTGGAAGTGAGTATAGCCTCTGGCTGGCTGCCCATGGGGATAAGTAAAATTTTAAAAAGTAGAAAGTGGAATACGCTTGCCCAGTGGGGTAAAAGATAGAAAAATAATAAAAGAAGAAAAAATTAAAAATTTAAAAGTTTATTGGTGCAATAATTACATAATTATTGCGAGGATAAAGTACCTATAAGGGGTTGTAGGAACCAGTAGGATTCTTCTGGCCTTTTGGTATTGTCATTGCAGTTATAAACATCTAAATTAATCATATTTGCATTGTTTGTAAACTGCAAGTTATTGAAGAAATTTATGGCAACTTTTTGAATGTGAGCTTTGAAACTATTGATTTTAGATCTTTGTTAATGTAATCATTTCGCATATAGCGACAAGCTTTTACGACCATTCGAATATAAGAATTTTGCACAGTATTTAAAATATTTATATTAGTCTTAGCAGCATAACCCCAGTAGGATTGAAAGTTGTCTGTCACTGCACAGTGGGGGTTCTGTAATTGAGAGGGAATACTCCTTTCAAAATTTTCTCCTGGGGAGGGGAACGGCTTTTTTCACAATTCCTTCTGCTTTCATCACTGCGGCGCTTTAGTGATTATATTTGAAATGGCACAATCAATCTGTGTTGAACAGCGTTTTATCCTTCGTTTTGAAGAAATGTTCTTTTATCTGCGGGTCACAATGCCGTGGCGGTATTGCCGGGACGGTAATGTTCTGCTGCAGGCAATAATAAAACCTGAATGTTGAAGGCGGCGTTGAAACGAGATGGAAGATTGCTGGTGGAACAGATGCTGGTAAGGCTATTGGAAGTCCGGGGCGCAGATGCTGGTGAAGCTATTTAAATTGGAGAGACTGTCGCAGTTAGATCATCTCTATGCGTTGGTGTCGCTCTCTGGCTGTTCTGGCGATTCCAGGGTCTCTTTTGAGGTGAAATACGTCCCGCCTACGAAAGTGACACGTGATGAGTAGTCACTTCTGTTTGGACGTATTTGGTGGAACCATTCTTCTATTGATCCACGTCCCTTTCGTACGGTGTACTTTGAAACCGGTGGCTCTGTCGTGCGAACTGCGTCCCCATCTTACTGTCGGCTAGATCAAGGGAGGTCAGAGGTAGACTTCCCTTAGGACATCAGCGCCGGGGTATCCACCCTGGGATCTTACCCACGAGAAACTACATGAACGTTGAAACGTCCCTCGTTCCCGACGGGAAATGGGTCTTTGGTAAATACCGCCGCAATGGAAATGATATCTAATTAAGTGTATAAGCTTTAAATCAGTATCTTTAATTCAAGCCGTTCCCTACCTCTTGAGCGGTTCCGTAGTGAAGTGGTTATCACGTTCGCTTCACACGCGAAAGGTCTCCCGTTCGGTCCCGGACGAAACTACGCGATAGAGAGTTTTCATTTTATCACATGGAAAGACATTGCTGGTTGAAAACGCAATGGAATTCACGCTCGTCGATAACTCTTATTTTTATTGTACGCTTTACTTTTATCACGTGCATAATATATGGCAATGATATCTAATTTAGTGTATAAGCTTTCAATCAGTTTTTGTAATTCAAGCCGTTCCCTAACGCTTTAGCGGTTCCTTTGTGTTGACCCACATTGAATCCAAATCAATACTAAAAAGATTCAGGATTTATTTAAATTTTACTACATTTTCAAAACCCACAAAAATTACTTTATTTCTTCGTGCATTTATTTATAGACAAATAATTGAAGTATTCCTTTTCTAGTTTGGAATAATTTTAGTTTTATTTTCATACTGAACTTTAAAATGGCTTGCATGTTGTGAGCGACTGTCTTGAAAAAGGCAAGTTTAGAAAATAAGTTTTTGTTGACAATTATTAATCTTTTGAGGAGACTAATTTCTTGAAACTTTTAAAGTACTTTTTTAGCTCATTAATTAAGGTATGGAAAATGTCTTAAAAGTTCCATACAGAAATTATTTAAGAGTTTCAACAATTTCAATACACTTATTTTATGATTCCTTTCATTTTCCAGTATTGAAAGAATCAAAATTAACGGAACAGAAATTACAGAATGAGTAAAATTAGTTAGTAAAAAATTGAACACATACAATATTTCAAGAATGATTTTTACTTTTCAGTATTAAACATTAAGTAAAAATTAAATCTACTTAACTACTAATATTTAATGGATATTTTGTCTTATTAATAATTGATCTGCATTGTTTAAATTGGATTTATCACAGTACTTACAAATCACAGCCTTTTTGGGAACATTATATGAAACGAAACAAAGAAGTTTTCCCAAATTTCAGCGCAACAACACGTGCTTTGGGATTGCCAACTTGGCGAGTTATCTTGAACGTTGGCAGTTGTTACCATAATATTGACCAGTTATCTTATAACCTAGTGCAGAAAGGCAGTGGCATAACAGAGAACATTTGGGGCCCCGCTAAGTCAAATTTTTTGGGGCCCCCAAGTTATTTTTCAAAAGGGGGGTACTTGGCGACGTCAGGTTTTTGGGCACCCCAATATGGTGGTGTATGTTTATGCAGAAAGTCTATACTTTAGACCATAAAATTTTGCTTTGATTGAAAACTATTGTGATATTTCAAAAAGCTTATTAATCTGGTATTTTTTAAAAACTTCAAGATCATAACGTGTTTTTAAATTTACAAAAAATTTATCTTCTGGTTTTTAAATACCTTTTTTAAAGTGAACATATGTTTTGTTTATTTGATGAAAATAAATGAGATATATATCATTTTTTTATATTTAACCGATTAAGTATATTTTACGCTTTTATTTATTTTATCCGTGAAAAAACGTGGTCACTTCCCCGGAAACACGGTATCATATGTGGGTTATTTTTTCCCCTTTTTGATCCGATCATACTGATGTTCCCTGTATTTAATTACAGCAAAGATTTTATAAGAATTTTACAGGGAAACACCATAAAATAAAACAAGTAATTATTTTATAGATATTACATTTTTTTAGGGGACCAAATTTCTGTGTTTTTTATTTTACGATTAGTTGGAAAAAAATATTTTTTGACATAAATATTTTTAAGAGATTAAAGCATAGATGAAAAAAATTTTTTTTTTTAGATAATGGATGTTGAAAAAATAACGGGTAGGTCTCGGTTGTTTAAGTGGGAAAAAGGAAAGACTTGTACCTCAGAAAATTATAAATTTATTCATATTCAATTATACTTCCGCTATTGATATCAAGTTTTTCCATGGAATTACAAAAGCAGAAAAAAAGATAGGTAGTAGAAAGATCCGA